GTACATTTGTTGGAATAACAGAAATGGTGATTTTAGCCTAAACGTTTCTGAGGGTAAAGAGTCACATGACCTTCAGGAAACTTTCTCTGCCTCCTGGAAGGTGCTTTCCTATCTCCCCCATCCTTCCCTACCCCTTTTCCCTTTTCTTGCTCTCTTTTTCTCTCACTGTCACTCTGTCTACAAACACTGGCATCGTTCTAACATTCAGAGTAAGCACTGTTTTTCAAAACAGTAATTATTTGTTGGATCAGATTCTCTTATCCCAATACCTTCACTGAGATACAGCCAATGAGATAGTTTCACAGTTAAAACAGTGCCTATAAGAAAATTAATCACATACTATTTTTCAAAGATATTAAGCATATTTTGTAAGTATTCTTATTTGGTCTTTGTAACATGAAATAATACATGGAACTTATCCTATAATAAAAATGGAGTGCCCTGGCTCATCACAGAGGTGCATCTAGTTTGCCCTTAATGAAAGTATGCTTGCTGTGTGGATTGATAGCACCTTCTTGAAATGGAGGAGCACAGCTGGCTTCATGGATGTACAATTTTGGTAGTCACACAGGGCTCTGCACTCAGAAGCACCTGAGCTCAGTTGAATGTCTGTTTAATTTTTACTTATTTATTTTTTTGAGACACAGCCTCACCTTGTCTCACTTTGTCACCAGAATGGAGTGTAGTGGCGCCAACATGACACTAGCCTTGACCTCCCTGGCTGAAGGCACCCTCCCACATCAACCTCCCAAGTACCTGAGACAACAGTCATGTGCCAGCATGTCCAGCTAATTTTTGTATTTTTTGTAGAGACAGAGTTTCATCATGTTGCCCAGGCTGGTCTCCAACTCCTAGGCTCAAACGATCTGCCCACCTTGGCATCCCAAAGTGCTGGGATTGAAGGCATACACCACAATGTCCAGCTGAAATCTTAATAAGTCTTAACGATTTTTGAGCAAGGGGTCCACACTTTGATTTTGCTCTGGGTTCCCAAACAGGTCCTGGGTAGGAAGGAAAGTGGCTAAGGACAAAACAAGAGTTGTTTTGGCCTGGCTGAACATTGGAACCAATAATCAGAGTTTCATTTTATGGTTGTGTTACTCTGAGCAGATTTGCTGTATTTTTGCCACCTACATTTAGAGTTCCTCGTGTATATATCATCCCTTTTTGTCCAGTCCATTTAAGGTCTCCTGTGTTTGTACCTAGAATCGGTTCTTCTTGCCTTCAAAATCCCTGATAAGTTGCATTTCTTTATTTATCCTTTGATATAGAAGCCACAAGAATGGCTTTAGCAGCTTATTTTACTTTATGAATTATTCATTCAGGATTTTTTTTAATGATTAAGATGCTTTCAATCTATTGACTGTATTTATAAAACATATTTCAGTGATATAACATAGGTGAACTAAACCAAAGATGCAAATACCTTGGAGGAAAATAAATTTTATTTTAGATAACCCTGAGATATATCCTTTTAGGGTTGTTTAATTTGAAGCCTATCACAAAATAAAGAGAATTGTTGCACTTTAATTTCAGCCTCCTATGTACTTCATAGCCCTTAGCGTAAGATTCTGAAATTTGTCATAGGTGGTACCCAGTTTGATGCAAGGTTCTGTAGTGGTTTTGCATATGTCTCTGTGCAGTCAGACTGAATGAGATAATCCAAACCATCCTATCAAAACTGACCCACGATAACTGTCATTTGAGGGGAAACGAAGCAAATGTGGGTTTCCTCTTCTCATTGTTAAACATTCCAGGTCCTCAGATTGAAGAGATACATTAGCTGATAGTTGACATCTGTTCCCTAACACATAGTGGCTATCAACACGGGCTGCACTTGGAATCACCTGAGGACCTTTCAAAGTCTTTGCTGAATTACCCTAGCTGTCCATGTGATGATTCTAATGTGCAGCTAGGCTAGAGAACTGCTACAAGGCTGACAACTGTAATGGGAGTTTGTAACTTTTACAAAATAGAGGTTTATAATCTTTTACAATTTTTGCTTTTAAATCTATACTAAAATGAGCCAAAGAATTCTTAAGAATGATTTATGGCCCTATCGGTTGGTTGAGGCTATCGTTCCATGATTGACAAATAGGTGGTTATGTGGGGTGGTTTTGCACTTGTGGCAACTGGACTACAATTTGGCCTTAAAATTACAGAATTCCTGGTTCTCAGATGGAGAGCAATTGCCTTGAAATTTGCATGTACCAGACTAAGTGCCCAATATATGACTGATATTGCGATGACTCATGGAAGGTGTCCCTGGCATAGAGTTTATGCCTACATCTCTATCTTTATTTTGGGCACACATGAGCTTTTGTTAATTATTTCTTATTCGTACTTGTTAGAATCTGTTTAAATTTAAAAAAACGCTTTGATTTGTAGTGGATTCACCTTCTTAATAAATATAGAGGATTTTAGTAGCAACATTCAAAACAAATATAGTTATAGGTGATTTGTTTGTTTTTAATTTTTTTCCTGGTTTCCAAATTACATTTACTTTGATGTGCTTATATGTTGGTATCTCCCAATTATAGCTTAACTTTTCTATCTAAATGATATGTTTTGACACTTAAAAAGAATAAGTACATGTCAAATCATGCATTTAGGCTGCAGTTGAATAAGATAAAAGCTCAGGGTGCCAAAAATAACATAGAGAAATATTATAACATTTTATGATTATTCTTGAAGTTTTTGATACAAATGGAAAATATGTTGAATAGTTCTTCCAAAAAATAATATTTCCCTCAATATTTTATTTATAGCCACATAACTTAAAGAGAGCGGAAAATAACTGTAATCAGAAGCATGGTCTAATATCAATCTAAGTGGCCCAACAGAATTCATAAGATCTTTACAACAATCAATTGGCTATTAAAATATTTTATTTTTCTCACCGAGGATTTTTTTCAATTAAAATCTTTAGGGCCTGTAACTCATAAAATCATCATCCACCACAATATATGGTCATTATTGGTTTGTAAGCATAGATAACCATTGACTCCCACCTGGAAAGACATGTCTATTTCCAAACATCCAGGAGTTTCTTCTCATTCTCAGTAGTACACATTGTATATACATACATATATATATATATATATGTATGTATCACATTTGGTAGTTTTCAATGTGTGTGATGTCCTTTGGGGGTTATCTTGTTGATCCAGAAAGGGGTACACTAGCCCAAGAATGAAGACTTCTGAGTTCTAGTTCTAGCTCTGCCACTCAAGAGCCGCCTCACCTGGGCAAGGTAGCCAGTGTCTCAGTCACGTTTACCACACATGAAAGGACCGGCCGGTTGGATGTATCCATTAAGATCAATGAGTCACTCTAATGGTTATTTTTGAATCTGGATTGAAAAAACACTATGCATCTGATGAGATAATTCACAAATGCTTCCCTTTTTTAAATGATACAACCCTAAAAGTGACAAAATTGCCCAAATGCTTGAACATGGTAGAATTAGTTACTCTTATTTTACGGTCTACACACTTAAAAATTCCTACAGTGATTGATACTTTACTGGGGAAAGAAGATGAGGTGAAACTTCCTCCCAAGGAATTAAAATATCTGTAGAAGCCATGGCTTGCTTTTACAATCTGGAAATCATTTGATTTGCTGTAATTCACAGAGATCCCTCCTTTTATGAGGGGGAAATGACTTGCGTCATGTTCTTTGTTCATAATGCTTTTACTTCCTGTTTTGATCAGTTGTATGTAAATGTACATTTTTGTTACTTTGGCTGTGCCTGTTAGAACTTATTTCCCATAAAGTATTTCTCCCATTGAGTGTAATGATGTATACTTTGCCTAGGTCTTTCCGAAATTAAATTTATGTAAATGTCTATTTTCTATAAAATATGATGAAAATAACTATGTCTGGTTTCAATCTCTCAAGTGCTTCATGGTTAGTACCTACTGGTACTATGTCACCAGGAATGTCTGTTTCAACAATTTTTTTAAAAGTACCATCTTCCTTCCTTCTTTCATTCATTTACTCATTTCATTGCATTGATCTGTGTGCTTCCTGTCTGTGCCCTTTCCCTTCCTCCACACAGTGCCAATTCAGTACTTGCCCACTCCAGATCTGCTCCCCCATCATGCTTAGATGCCTCCATCTCTCTTTTCACAGAGTAAATAAAATGTGGAAAGCAGATATCCCCCAATGCCCTGCACTTCATCTATACATTAACCTGTACATAATTCTATCCTTTCTTTTCTCCCATTATCACAATAAAAGAAGAGAACCCTAGGTTCTGGGTTTTGCCTCTTATGGAACTTCATTCCATTCCTTAACTCCTTCATCTTTTAACTTCTTTTTGCTGGCTCTTGTCAATTTGTTAGTTCTCCTATCTTAAAGCACATACACAGGTAATTAACATCAAAACAGTTTGGGAAAAAAAACCTTCTTCTATTTCATTCTGTCTGTAGCTGCTATCATGTCTCTCTTTGTCCTTCACAGCCAAGCTTTTTGAATAGCAGATCGCAGTTGTCCTCTGCTAGTGAAGGTGTCCAAATTAATGACAGATTTGCTGTACATCACAAGTCACCACTTTCTGGGGGTAGTCCAACCCACTCCTCTCCTTGATATCCTTTCCTTTTCTGAAGTTATTTTAAGCATAAAAAGAGAATTCTTCCATTTGGATACTTTACTATAACTACAAATTCAATTTATATTTAAGCCATTATTAGAAAATTTGAGTCTAAAACTAATGGCCTGGCTTATTTTATTTTATTTTGTGACAGAGTTTTACTCTGTCGCCCAGGCTGGAGTGCAGTGGTGTGATCTTGGCTCACTGCAACCTCTGCCTTCCGGGTTAAAGCGATTCTCATGCCTCACATACACAGGTAATTAACATCAAAACAATTTGGAAAAAATTGTATATAGCCTCCAGAGTAGTTGGGATTACAGGCATGTGCCACCAAACCCAGCTAATTTTTTTATTTCTAGTAGAGGCAGAGTTTCACCATGTTGGCCAGGCTGGTCTAGAACTCTTGACCTCAGGTGATCCATCCACCTCGGCCTCCCAAAGTTCTGGGATTACAGGCATGAGCCACTGTGCCTGGCCTATGGCCTGGCTATTAATGGTTTGTAATTCTTATTCAATGGCTCTTTTCTCACTTCTTTTAAAGGAATTATTCTGTAAGGCCTGTAAGGGACTAAACCTCTGTATATAAGAATAGGATCTCAGTTGAAGCTGTGGGTTTTGAACTCTGGAAACAAAGGGGTTCTGTAACAAGAAATGAGACAGTGCCCAACCACATGAAGATTCCCAGGTTTGAAACAAACCACAGAATATCCTGCAAAACAGTGTGCCATTGGCAGAAGAGTGAAAGGGGACAACAGCTGTGGGCCTCACGGAAGGGATGGCCATCGTACAACCAGCAAGTTGAGCACTGCTGGCCTGACTCTTCCTGCACAGCACATATTCACCTTTTTGTTCTTTCCCTTTTATTTCATAAAGGCTTTTTGGTGGCTTTCATCTTACCTCTTGCTAAAAAGAAAGAGGGCTTTGGACCCATCTGGGGGCTCTGAGCTTTTATTGGAAAACAATGTGGTCCTGGAGCTGGTACAGTGGTTCAAATGGTCACCCCTGTGAAATGACCACAAGAAGGAGAGCGGTGAGGGCCTCTGGTCAGGCAGCCACCACACCAGGACATTCCTGGACAGTACTGAAGCCTGGAGGTTCCATGTTTTATTTTCACAGGAGGGCTGCTTACCTTAAGAGCACTCTGGACACCCCCTATCCCCTAGACACCCATGCATGAAAGCAAGGAGTCATCTACTCAAACTGTCATCCAAGGTGTCTTTCCTTGAAATCAATATTTTAAAGAAAATAGTGCTACTCTGAAGAACAGCACAGTCCAATATAACTATTGGTGATGACAGAATGTTCTGTATTTGTGCCATTCAACATGGTAGCCACTAACCACAGGTAGCTGCTGAGCACTTGAAATGTATCTAGTGTGACTGAATGTTTAACTTGATTTCCTGTTAATTTTAATTTGAATAGCCACATATGACTACTGTCTGCTACATTGGTCAGCGTAGCTCTAGAGCTTTTTAGTGTAGTGGAACTTGGTATGTAAGAATCACAGAAACGACCCTGGACGACATGATGAAACTGTGGCTCAAATACGAAAAATTAGTGGGCATGGTAGCATGCTCCTGTAATCCCAGCTACTTGAGAGGCAAAGGTGGGAGGATCACTTGAGCCTGGGAGGTTGAGGCTGCAGTGAGCTGAGACTGCACCACTGCACTCCAGCTTGGGTGACAGAGTGAGACCTCTTTGAAAACAAAGAAAAATCACAGAAGCTGCTTTTGGGTTCATGAGACAAGAAGGTTTGAGATGTGTGTTTCAAGTTTGAGTACCAGTCACATTTTTTAAAAAAACAACGTTTTTTTTTTCTTTTCAGAGACAAGGTCTTGCTGTGTTGCCCAGGGCAGAATGCAGTGGCTATTCACGGGTGAGATCCCACTACTGAACTGCAAGGGAGTTTTGAACTGCCCTGTTTCCAACCTGGTTCAGTTCACCTTTCCTTAGGCAACTTGGTGGTGCCCTGTTCCAGGAATATCACCATATTAATACCAAACTTAGTGTGGAGAGACTCCAGATTGGCATAGTGCCCTACAACTCAGAGCTCCTGGGCTCAAGCCAGCCTCCTGCCTCAGCCTCCCCAGTAGCTGGGACTACAGGCCACATGCCACATCACCAGGCATCATTCACTTTTTTTAGGCTTTTCATCCAAGGGTGTCCATTCACCCTCTGCTCTCTCCTGCAGTCACAGAGGTCATTGTCCCCAGTAGATTGTCACCTGCTTTTACCTGTGCCTGCATTCTCTCCACCTTGACTGCCTCTGTGTTCCCATCTACCTGTTCATCTCCCACCTGTCCCCCTTAGCTTATTTATCCTCCTACCTCAAGAAGCTTTTATTTCTATTTTACGTGAAAGTAAAATGTTGCACTTAAAAGTAAAATCCTCCAACTGGTGCTGGGGGACTGGTGTCCGGGTTATTTGATATATATAGAATGCCCATTTAGCCTTGCCCTAATTTTCTGACAAAATATAAGACCATTACAAATTCTGGCTTTGTCTTCCAGTTTCAGCCTAACTTGTTACAAAATAATATTCATGGGGAAAAGGTGACATCTCACCAATAGATTAATTTCAATGATCTTAAATGATGGATCCTACAGCTTTTGACCCATTCTGCTGAAATGGATACAATACTTGCCACCCAGAAAATGATGGCAGCTCAAGAGTGATCTTTGCTAATCACTCTTTGAAAACTCTTGAGGATCAAGAGCTTCAACAAGCTTCTTAGAAGGGGTGGTATTGTACTAAGCTTCAGGAGCCTCCTCCTTTCAGAAGTCCTGCCTGTGTTTTGCGTGGGGGACTAGCTTCATTGCCCTCGAGCCCAGACGGCACTCCCCAGCCTGGGACAGAATTCGCAGGGCAAAGCGTTCCAGGCCACTGACTGGCTTGCTCTGGATCTGCTGGCAAAAACCTCTGCACACGTGCGAGCACCCCTCCGGCCCCTGAGGACACCTTGCGCCAGTCTCTAAGGCTGGATGGCAGGGCGCTGTGACACCGGGGGTGACCAGAGGGCGGTGGCAGCTCACAATGATGGATCGTGAAGAGGGACACCTGCGAACCCAGGTGCCACGGCAGGTGCTGCCCATAGGCCCTGCAGGAGGGCATAAAGGACGCGGACCCCGCCTTCTCCGCAGAGTTTTCGCAGCCTACAGGAGGGGAGGACGTGTGAGGCGGTGCGTGAGGATATGGGTGTGCTGGCCAGTGCCGGTTTGTTGCTACTGTTAGTCATGGGCCACCCCAGAAGCCTAGGTGAGCCCAGGCCCCTCGTTACCGGGACTGTGGAGGAGACTGAGCATTCTGGGGAGGGAAGACTTCATTACTCCTTGCTGCAGGAAGGCCGGGTGGTATAGGCACACCTGAGGCATTGGGAAGAAAGGGTGAGGGGATGGTGCACGCCCAGATGTCCGCAAAGGAAGGCCTGGACCAGATTTCCTTTTTGAAACGTTTTAGATTCTAGAGTTCAAGTTTTTAGGCACACGTGATAACTATGTGTGTGCTAAGGAGCCTGCTCCAAGGAAACCTAACCAAGTAGAAGTAACTTAAAGTCAAGTATCTCCCTTTCAGAGTAGTACATGTCATTTCCCAATGTCTTTGTTTCGTTTTGTTTTGTTTGTTTGAGACAGGGTCTCGGTCTGTCGCCCAGGCTGGAGCGCAGTGGTGCAGTCATGGCTCCCTAAACCTCCAGGGCTCATGTGATCCTCCTGCCTCAGCCCCCGAGTAGCTGGGACCACAGGCATGTGCTACCACATCTGGCTAATTTTTGCATATTTTTGTAGAGGTAGGGTCTTGTCACTTTGCCCATGGTCCTAAACTCCTGGGTTCAAGCGATCAGCCCACCTGGGCCTCCCAAAGTGCTGAGATTACAGGCGTGAGCCACTGCACCTGGCCTCTGGTATCTTTAACCCAACTTAAATGTGCATCTTCCCAGAGTAAGCCCCAAGTCACCTACCAGAGGCAGTGCTGGCTCCTTCCTATCCAGTGGTAGCACAGACTGAAAAGGAGTAGGCAGGAGGCAAATTCTGGTCAACCCAGGTGACTTTGGGATATTCTGAAGAAAATATGGAGAGAAGAATGTGATAGTCTGCAGCTAAGTGATATCAGCACGGCTGGGCCAGGCCAGGAAAATCCAAACAGAAAATCTTGGTAAAGTAAAGTAAACTCTTAAATAAGGCTCTGTGTGTGCACACACACACGTGCCCTCTTCTACACAGGACTGAAGTGTGGAATTCGCATGGTCAACATGAAAAGTAAGGAACCTGTTGTGGGATCTGGATTCTTCTCTAGAATTAGTAGTTGGAGAAATTCACCAGTGGCTGGACATCCTTGGCAGGTCAGTACAACAAAGGCATTGATTTCTTAATGAGAAAACGGTGAAATATTTCTTTTGTTTCAAAACCAAGAATCCAGGTTGATATGTAGTTTTTCTCCTGACCCCCACTAGCTCTCTACCAAAAAGTTTACTTCCAATTTATGTCAGTATTTTAAGAATATTATGTCTGATTAGAAGAGTTGATATCCAGTGTTTCTGATGGAGATACATCTGTGGAGAGACATATTAGCTGCGTTTGTAACTTTCTTTTTGGGTAGGTCTCCCTAAAATTAAATGAGCACCATTTCTGTGGAGGAAGCTTGATTCAAGAAGATCGAGTCGTTACAGCTGCACACTGCCTGGACAGCCTCAGTGAGTAAGTTGTGGATTTCCATTACTTGTCAGGCCTTGATTCCTGGCTATGGGACTGGGAGATTTGTTGCTCTAAATAGGTTCATTCTCAGTCCCTTTCTTTACTTTTTTTTCTTTTTCTTCTTCTTCTTTTTTTTTTTTTTTTTTTTTTTTGAGATGGAGTCTCACACTGTCACCCAGGCTGGAGTGCAATGGCATGATCTCTGTTCACTGCAACCTCTGCCTCCCAGGTTCAAGTGATTCTCCTGCCTCAGCCTCCCAAGTAGCTGGGATTACAGGTGCCTGCCACAAAGCCCAGCAAATTTTTTGTATTTTTAGTAGAGATGGGGTTTCACTATGTTGGCTGGTCTCAATCCCCTGACCTTGTGATCCACCTGCCTCAGCCCCCCAGAGTGCTGGGATTACAGGCATGAGTCACCAAGCCAGGCCCCTTAATTCCCTTCTTAATTTTGCCTCCCAGTGTACCCACACACTGATCTTCCTGATTCCCAGAAGGGTGTGTCTGTCCCAAGATTTTCAGTGCTTTCTGTTCTACTGAATAGAGACTTTAAACAATCCAGGACATCATCTATAATTTATGAATTTAGTTCTTGGGTAGAGGCAGTGGTTACTTATTATAATAAAGCATGAACAAGAAATGTTAAATGGAGGCTCTAGAGTTTTGATCATCTGGGTTTAAATCATTAGGAGGGAAAAAAACTGCAGAAATTACAAATACTTGACCAGATCAAAAGAGGGTATGTATAAGAGAAAAGGAACAGTTCCAGAAAGCATTTTTTATAACCTGTTACAAATGGCATAGCATGTGTGAACTATGGTTTGTATATGAAAGAAGAAAAGAAGGCAATATTTAAATACTTGACTCAGAAAAATGGAAACATAACTGAAAACCATAACTTTTTCTAGATTAAAAAAATTTATGACTATTGGTAATGATAATAAGGAAAACCTTCTTCAAAGACCTGGGGATGCTTAAAGGTAAATTAATCACTTTTTCTTTAATTACATCCCACCAAGAAATCTTGCCTAAGGGAAACAACTACTTATGAAATATTTTCCTTTGGTTTTAGGAAGCAGCTGAAGAATATAACTGTGACATCTGGGGAGTACAGCCTCTTTCAGAAGAATAAGCAAGAACAGAATACTCCTGTCTCAAAAATCATTATCCATCCTGAATACAACAGCCATGAATATATGAGTCCTGATATTGCACTGCTGTATCTAAAACACAAAGTCAAGTTTGGTGAGTATGGAGCGTTAGAATATTAAAAATCCAATGGGGAAAAACCACTAATTGTATACAAGTTGACTTCAATTTCTGTGTGGCTGTCTAGTAATAGAATAGCTAAGCTTTGTTTCTTTTTAAAATAATTTTGTTCAACCTATAACCTATTTAAAAACTACTGTACAGGCTACATGTCCCAGCCACGAATTACTTATGCTTAACAGTCAACATTTTTCCCTTTCATTTATTTCTATTGATACATATTAGATGTACATATTGTCAGGGTACATGTGATAATTTGAAACATTCATATAATCAAATCAGGATATCTATCGCCTTAAATATTTATAATTTTATATGTACTAGGAACACTTGAATTATTTCTCTTCTAGCTATTTTGAAATATACAATCAATGCATGCTAATTATAGTCATCCTACTGATCTATCAAACATCAGGTCTTATCTCTTCTAAGTGTATATTTGTAACCATTATCAACCCCTCTTCATCCTCCTCTCTTCTCTACCCTTCCCTGCCTCTCATAAGCACAGGTTTAATCTCTGTTTTCATGAGATTCAATATTTTAGCTCCCACATGAGTGAGAATATGTGATACTTGTCTTTGGCTTATTTCACTTAACATCCATGTTCAGTTCCATCTGTGTTGTTGCAAATGACAAGATTTCCTTCTTTTTATGGCTGAATAATGTTCCATTGTGTGTATATACTACATGTTCTTTCTTCATTCACCCATTGATGAACAACTTAGGTTATGTCCATATGGTGGCCAATTGGCATTTTAAGGACTTCTGTGTCTTTGCTGGACTACATTCTACCTACCTACCTACCTATATTCATCTCTAACCAAAAAGCTTTAACATTTGAAAACGTTTTCAGAGGCTTCTTTCTGTAATTACTGTAAAAAAGATATCCAACACACTCTCCACACAGGTAACACAAATATTCTGGGTAAAACACTAAAAAACCTTATTTTAAAAAAATGCCAAAAAAGCAAGTATGTTAAGTGACCAAAACCAGAGCACAAATCCAGAGTAGTTAGCCAGGGCACTGCCCTTGAGGGATCAGACTGATCTTTAAGATCCTAGAGATTTGCCTGGCCATGAAAGGAGCTGTAAATAACCTGGAACTTTCTGAAAGGTGATGCTTTGAAAGGTAGGGAGGAGGAGTTAGGGGAGTTATGTTACATAAAGTAAAGGGAATAAGGACACTTACTCGTGTCAACCTTGGCTCTGGAGAGAGGGTTCTCAGAAAAATCTGTAATCATGAGCCAGTCCTCTCTCAGGTTTGATGCTGGAATTGACATCACCTGTGTGGCACAAAAACTCCAAGGCAAGATTTTAAAGCGGTTCCAGGTGAGGAATCAGACTCTGGCAGAAGCAAAAGTAAATCCTCTCTGAGATAATGAAATTTAAATCTCAGGTTCAGTATATTCCCATAAAGTTTTAATGAATTCAAGCACACAACCATGCAGAGAAATTTGCATTGAAGATAGAATCTGAAGCATTAACAATCAGAAGCAGACTTTCAAAGGTTACAAATTTCATGATAGAGAATAGAAAATAGTATAGTAAAGCTTAAAGAAGTAAAAGAGTATTGAAAATGATTGAACCACACAAAACAATTAGATGGAAGGAAAATTTGAAAAGAAGCTAATAAAACATGAAAATATAAAAATGTAATTGGAATTCGAAACTCAACAGAATATTTATCTACCAGATTACATTAGGTGTATGGAACTAGACAATCTGAAATAATTACCCAGAAGTGACAATGACGGGGCCGGGCGTGGTGGCTCACAGCCTGTAATCCCGGCACTTTGGAAGGCTGAGTGGGGTGGATCACGAGGTCAAGAGATCGAGACCATCCTGGTCAACATGGTGAAACCCTGTCTCTACTAAAAATACGAAAAATTAGCTGGGCGCAGTGGTGCGTGCCTGTAATCCCGGCTACTCCAGAGGCTGAGGCAGGAGAATTGCTTGAACCCAGGAGGCGGAGGTTGCGGTGAGCCGAGATCGCGCCATTGCACTCCAGCCTGGGTAACAAAAGCAGAACTCCATCTCAAAAAAAAAAAAAAAAAAAGAAGTGACAATGAGGGTAAGAGACAGAGAAGACAGAGTGTAGTAAACATCCAATTTTAAGTTTAGAGAGAATATGGATATTAGAGGAGAGAGACTGTAATTTAAGATAAAGTGACTGAGAATTGACCATAACTGATATCCAAATATTTAGATTTAAAAAGCCTAGTGACTCTAACTATGATACAAAAAATAATTTTATTTCTAGACATGTGGGTAAAATGTAGCACACTAAAAGAATGTATTTCAAAAGAATCTAATAGGAAAAAGACATGTTAACCAAAAAGAAATGTTATTGACCTTCTCAATAACAGTAAGTTAATGTCAGAAGATAGTGGAACAAGATGATCCAAATACTGAGAATAACTCAAACTGGAATTGTATATAAGAGGAAATTATTGCCCCAGTTTTTCTCTCCTTTATAGCAAATCAATGCTAGTTATGTCCATTTCGTTTCCTCAATTCTCATAGTTGAATGTATTAGGTTAAGATGTCTGTTCCACATTTAAGAGGATCAAACATTCACTCTGTTGTTCCATAAATTTGGTCTTGTCACAGTCACTAATGACCTCTATATTGCTAAATTCAAAGTAACTTCTCAAATCCCATCTTTCTGGATAAGAGTTTTTTAGCAGAATTATTCATATGTTCTTCTTGGAAATATTTTCTTCACTTGAATTCTGGGAATTCATTAGTTATTCTCCTACCCTATTGTACCCTTTCTTAGTCTTCTATGATTATTCCCCCTCTTCTTCTTGACTTCATATTGTTAGAGTACCCCAGGCTCAGCCCTGGACATCTTATTCTCTAGTTGTGCTCATTCTGTTAGTGATCTCATCCAGAATGAAGAATTTAAGCACCATCTGCTACTTGAAGACTACTCTTAGCCTAGGTTTCTTTATATTACATATGCTTCTGAAATTAGTGGGATTCTTGTAACCAGTTGTCAACTGGTCATCCAACTGGATAGCTAATAGGCATCTCAAATTAATATGTTTAACACAGAATCTCATGGATGCCTACCTATAGCCTCCCTCATTTCAGTTAATGACAACTTCATCCTTCCAGTTGATTTGGCTAAAAAACTTTGGATTCATTTTTTATTATTCTTTCTCTGACACTGTACATCCAAAGAGTCATAAAATCCTGTTGCTTCTGCCTCACTCACTTCACAATTTTGCTATCTCGTTCCAGGTGATACTACTGTCATGTCATACCTGGATGAATTTTAGTGGTCTCTGAAATTGTCTGAAGCTGCTTCTGTCTTCCCAATATTTGTTATTAACCTAGTGACCAGAATAATGCTTTTTAAATACATAAATCAGGTTATGTCACCCTATTCATACCACTTCAATGGTTCTTTGTTACATTTAGATGAAAACCAATGTCATTATTATCTGAATACCCTCTTTCCTAGTCCTACATGTAACCTCTGATTTGTTTATTTTTTATAAAACCTTTTACTTAATCTGTTCCAGTCATCCTGGTCTCCCACTGTCCCCTAAACATATATGCATGACCCTGTAGCAAGGATTGTTTCTTCCTCAAATGCCTTCCACCCAGATAGCTGCATGATTCTTTTCCTCGGCTTCAAGGCTTTGCTCAGATATCACCTGCTCAATGAGACTTTCCATGATCATCATGTTTAAAATAATTTTTCCCATGCCATTCTCTCTCATCTCCAGACTTACCTCCTTTATCCTATTTTTTTCCATAGCGTGTATTTACCACTGAACAACTTATATTTACTCTCTGTTTTGTCTGCCCTCGCCCAACACACAAATGCAAATATACACACTCGGATAGGCTCTACCCAGAGATATTTTTCTTTCTGTTCATTCATTGAGACCTAAAAGAGTGCTTACCCATGGTATTTTTATCATCTTCTGACATTCACTTACTGCTGTTGAGAAATCAGTAACATTCCTTTTTTGGGTAATATGATTTTTTCCTTCTAGATTTTTTTGAGAGCCATTATTTGTTTTTTGTGTGCTACATTTTCAGCATGTGTCTAGATATAACATTATTTTTTTGTATCATAGTTGGAGTTACTGGACTTTTTAAATCTAAAGATTTGGATATCAATTATGATCAATCCCTCAGCCACTTTCTCTTAAATTACAGTCTCTCCCCACCAATATCTATATTTTTTCTAAACTTCCCAGGTTCTTTACAGTTCCTTTCATGGCCAGGCAAATTTCTAGGATCTTAAAGATCAATTTCATACCTCAAAGGTGGTGGTGTGGCTAATTCCTCTGGATTCGTGCTCAATAACTGTTGAATGAAAAACTACCCTTTCAAAACAAAAGCATAGTCTAAAATGTTGATAGATTAAGGGGCTCGTGGTGGTGTGCAGAAAAATGGGTTATGTTTTTCCTTGTTTTACCTTTTCTGCATTTCTTTAAATTTCTGTAAATACAAAGCAGTTTTATACGGGGAAGGCAAAACTTAAAATATGTCATTATTACATTTAGAAAGAAAGTATAGAACCCATGAAATCAACAGATATCACTTTTCCAAATATATTCAACATGACTTATTTATCCATGAACCTCATGCCTTTGGTGGTGTTTTCTCAGGAACTGCTGTTCAGCCAATCTGTCTTCCCCACAGTGATGACAAAGTCGAACCAGGGTTGCTTTGCTTGGTCAGTGGATGGAGCAAGATTTCCAAGAGTAAGAGATATCAAAATAACTTAACACTTCTTCCAGGTCTCTGTATGTCCAGGGGAAGGAGAAATAATTTTGTTGACCATGCATCAAAAGGCTTATACTTCTTTTTTAAGGCTATTCATATCGCTCCTGCTGCCACCAATTTGGTTAGGTATAGCAGATAAAGGAAGCTGGATGGAACTGTGATAGATGAGGAGGAATACGGGAAAAGGATGATCAGGAAATAGTAACAATGGTTAAGCCTCTTTGTCTTTAATATTGTGACCTTTTTAAAAAGTCAGACTCATAGAAACAAAAAGTAGAAGGGTGATTACCAGGGATATGAGAGAGGGGAGGGGGGAAGATGTTGTTTAAAGGATGTATATGTGGAATTACATGACAAGTAAGTTCTGGGAACTCAATATACTACATGGGAACTATAGTTAATATATTGAATACTTGAAATTTGCTAAGAGAGTAAATGTTAAGTATTCTCACTACAAAAAAGTTAACTCTGTGAGGTGATGTAATATTAATTAGCTTGATTGTGGTAATCACTTTACCATGTATACACATATCAAAACATCACTTTTGTACTTCTTGAATAAATACAATTTTTGTTTGTCAATGATACCTCAAAGCTTGACAAAAATACATTGTGATTTTTTTTATTTTGTAAAGAATTTTTGGCAGGGCCCAGTGGCTCACACTTGTAATCCTAGCACTCTGAGAAGCCAAGGCAGGAGGGTAGGAGCCCAGCCATTTAAGACCAGCCTGGATAACATAGAAACACCTTGTCTCCACAAGAAAAAAAAAAAAAATTAAAATTAGTCAATTGTGGTAGCATGCCTGTAGTCCCAGCTACTTGGGAAACTGAGGTGGGAGAATCACTTTCTCTCAGGAGGTTGAGGCTACAGTGAGCCATGATTGCCCCACTGCACTCCAGACTGCGTGGCAGAGGGACACTTTGTCTCAAAAAAATAAAAAGATTTCTATAAAGCATTGCTTTATTGACCAAAGTTTTCCTCTTGGGGAAACATTTGTTTAAAGAATCCACAATTAAACAATTGCCTATTTTACCTTAAAAATCTGCTTAAGTTTTTAAAAATGTCCTCTTTCACTTATCTGATTTTTAGAAGTGAATATGATTCACACTGAAAAACAGTGACTTCCACCTGTGGTTAAAAATCTGTTTGAAATAGTTTTAAACTCTTAAAAGATTTTTAACCACAGGTGGAAGTCACTGTTTTTCTCATTAATTTGTTTCCATGAGGATATTGTGTACTGACATATCTGCCCTCTCTCTACAGCATCAGAATATTCAAATGTCCTACAAGAAATGGAACTTCCCATCATGGATGACAAAACGTGTAATACTGTGCTCAAGAGCATGAATCTCCCTCCCCTGGGAAGGACCATGCTGTGTGCCAGCTTCCCTGGCAGGGAAGTAGATGCCTGCCAGGTACAAAAATATAAACCAGCCTAGTTGTTCAGTAACATGTGATTGAAAGTAGATTCTGCCTTTCCTCAAAAGAAGCTTGTGCTTATTCTGTTACTGGATCAAAATTCCTTTTCCCTTCATCTTTCCATCTGATTTCTACTAAAAAAGTATACTTGACCTGAGCAGAAAGAATTATTTACTGTCTCCATGACCATTCCTACCTCTCCACTTCTTTTATTTTGGTGGGCTGGGGAAAGGGGTTAGTTTCAATGTGTTCAACCCAGTGGAATCAAGCAAGATCACCATTTCACAATCTTAGTAGGTGCAGCTCTGAATTCTTCATTTCACATGTTGTTAAGCATTGTGGATTTTTTTCTTTCATGCAGAATATATTTGTACAAAGTTTGACCAAAGATGCATAGCTTTAGTGACTGTTGTGTGAGAGATACTGCGAATGACTACACTCTCCCAAGACTGACACAACTTCACAAAGAATAGCAATCTTCACAACATATTTAGAGGGACAAGGAGGTCAACTTGTGAAACATATTCGTTTTAAGTTTTAGACAGGTCTTCCAAGTAAATTATCTTCTCTTTTAAGGTGGAGCAGTAAGGAGTCGTCATTCTTTGCCAGAAAGCAGCTTGAAAATGTTGTGGGAAGCTCTCTGAAATTATCTGTTGGAAGGATTTTTGAGTTTTTCTTCAAGGGGGTAACAGGAGTTTGGGAGGGAGGAAATTGAAACTTACACTTATGCCACTTTCTAATTTAGAAAATAGATAGGCTAAAGTTGCTTTTTGCTATCTGTATTCATTACAGGCAATCCTTCTATGGCTGAAGCCCTCCACACCTTTTGAGGAGAGTTTAATCTGACACAAGGTTGCCTGAAACATACTCTTAAAGCATAGATTCTGGAACCGTACTGGAGATGTAATCCTAAAATCTTGGGTTCTTTATTCTGTAGCATGAGAGCCAATGTGGTCCTTTACATACATCCCCAGGGACAAAATTAGGTTTCCCAGGCTTTCTGTTTTTAAATCCTTGAGGCCTCGAGCTATCTTGGGGGATCTATTCACTGTTGCTCTATAGGACTGGAAGATTACCTAGTTTTTACCAGCAATTCCAGGTGACAAACTATAGTAGAAGCATCCATGTGAACTACCTCCCTTCTAATGATTTTTAGAATGTACACAGTAGTTAAAAAAAAAAAAAAAAAAAAAGCAGGAAGAGAAATCATTAGCCTAACAAGATTGCTGACAGTAAGTATAGCGATTTTATCTGGAAGAAAAGATTGTGCTTGAAACTAATGATAAGGACACAAGAAAACAGATAAACGACAAGTTGACAGATGCTGACTAGTGGACCTCTTTGCCTCTACCTCTTTCGACTTTGTGGAGAGTGCTGATGTTTGTGGAACTGATGAAACATTTTACTGGCTATTTTCAAATTTTCCCTTTTTTTGTACCATGAAAGGGGGACTCTGGAGGACCACTGGTTTGTAGAAGTGGTGGAATCTGGATTCTTGCTGGGATAACTTCCTGGATAGCTGGTTGTGCTGGAGGTTCAGCTCCTCTAAGAAACAACTATATGAAGGCATCACTTGGCATTTTCTCCAAAGTGTCTGAGTTGATGGATTTTATCACTCAGGACCTGCTCACAGGTGGGTGAATTCTTTCTTCCTCATCTCATTCTAACTCAAGGGTAGTTACTCTGCTATGTTGTGATATTATCAGAACTAAGCTTTAGAACAAAGCAAGAATATGGCTGGTTTTAAATTCTTAATCCAATGTAGATACTTTTGTCTCTGAAACCCTGAGTACAGAAATCTGTTAATGTAACTTGAACAAACCAAATCCCTGTATAAAATTTTCATGAGATGCCTTTTTGCATTTATGAGATTTTATTAACAGACCTTGAGAATAGACTCATCAGGGGATTCTGTCTTCATTTTTTTCAGTTAGCATGTTTTTTCTCTGTACTATTAAGAATACTAAAAATAAATCGCTCATCTTCCACTTTGTCCATTCAACTTTGTTAATTTTACTTGGCAACGATGAAAATGTGAGGCCTTGGAGAGTTAATTTGGCTCTGTGACAATGAAATCTAGATTAGGAAAATGTGGGCCTTGGAGATACCAAACCTGTCCTCTGCAGAATGGAAGAGGCCTGAGAGAATACAGCTTTCAGGAACAAGCAGTTGAATATTGAAACCTAATATTCTTTTAAATGGCAAGACCCAGAGCCCAAGAACATAGCCTTCTCGCCATCCTTCATCTGTTTCTCATGGCAGTCCAAGGTCAGCCACTGACTGAGGCTTTTAGAAGTAGCACTGTGGATCTCACCGCAGACCAGCACTTCCTCAGACTGCTGCAGACTCCCCTTTCGTCTTAGATGTGAAAGTCCTCTTCACTGCTCCACTGCAGGGGAACAGTTCTCTTCTAGTAGCAATTGTGTTCCATTTGATCACCTGGAAGGGAAGGCTGACAAGGTTTAAAAGCCCTGAACAAAGGTTAATGGTAACAATAAGATTTTACAAAAGCAATGAAATCCAACATTGGTAGTTAATTCCAGTCAAATGAACATCAGAATGTGATAAGTGATTTACTTAAATAATGCTCCCTTAGGATAATCTTCTAAGCTTCTCATCCTCTATTTTCCTATTTTTTTTTCCTAGTTCATTTTCTCCTATCCCTTTCCAGAAATGGCTATGCTCTTAACCCTTAAAAATCAGAAAATTGAATCTCTCACATCTTATTTTTAAAGCCACACTAGCCATCAAATCAAATAAATTACTTTCTGCTTCCACGTAGTCCTTTAGCCTTTTTTAAAAGACACAGTGAGTCGCTGACTCTAAGAAAAGATTCCCTCTGCATTGATTTTAGTAGTAGTATAAATTATAATTCTTAATATTCTTTCAACGTTGCAGTGTTAAAAACTTTTCATTTAAATGATTATTATTGGGAAAGGCATTGACTCTTTATACCTTCTACAGGTTTGAATCAGGGCCAACCCCTCAAAAGTGAGCATAAGATGTATAACAAAGGCCCTGAGTTCTGTTCAAGAAGTGAACGGAAGCCAGAGAGGAGAGGGTATGTGAAGTTCTAACTAGAGAAGGAAGCTGACTTGAAGAAAAGTCATCAGAGGAACACAAACGGAAGGATTGTACCATATTTATTACCTGAGTTTTGTTTAAATTCTTGAATGTAAACTTTAAATGCCCTGCTCACATTCCTTCCTATATGGGTTCCAGCATTTAAAACCCAACCCTGACATCTAAAACTTTTGAGTGAATGAGGGAGACTTGCCATGACATTGCTAAAAGTTTTAAATCATATTTACTTTATTTATTTTGAGATGGAGTCTTACTCTGTCATCGAAGCTGGAGTGCAGTGGCATGCAATCTCAGCTCACTGCAACCTTTGCATCCTGGGTTCAAGTGATTCTCCTGCCTCAGTCTCCCAAGTAGCTAGAATTACAGGTGCCCACTACCATGCCGACCTAATTTTTTATTTTTAAGAGAGACGGGGTTTTACCATGTTGACCAGGCATAAGCTACTGTACCCAGCTTATTAAGCATCTCTTTTTTTGTTTGTTTGTTTTGAGACTGAGTCTTGTTCTGCCACCCAGGCTGGAGTGCAGTGGCATGATTTTGGCTTACTGCAACCTCTGCCTCCCAGGTCCAAGCAATTCTCCTGGCTCGGTCTTCTGAGTAGCTGGGAATACAGGCATGGACCACCATACCTGGCTTGCTTGCTTGTTTATTTATTTATTTAAGTAGAGATAGAGTTTCACCATGTTGGCCAGGCTTGGTCTTGATCTCCTGACATCAAGTGATGCACCCACCTCAGCCTCCCAAAATGTACTTCAGCATCTTTATACAAAGGTATTTAGCCTTACCAGAGACAGCCTAGAAAGAGATGGGAAAGATGGATAAATGTTACATCGAAGAGCTGTTTTTAAAAATGTTGATTTTGATTCAAATTATGAATTCAGAAATCTTTTTAAAGTCTGTTTGAAAATCCAGGGTCTAAATCATAGCCTCTAAAAATATTTTCATTTCCATAAATATCAATAATATAAATTGTACAGCTTCAGGCTGACCTCTGTATCATTTTGAAATGTTGTTTATAGGTCGGGCAAATGATCAACTTCTTTCCCGTGTTTTTGAAGATTGTAAACCTCAGGGGACAGTGTTATTTGGAGAAAGTAGGAAGATTCGTTACCCCCATTCCAAAGGAGACAACTATTCTCATAATTGGTATGTATCCCACATAGGAATGATTCCTGGGGCTTTTCCTCCCATTAAATGGGGCAGTTTAAAAGACACTATTGTAGCAATTTTTTTTTTTTTTTTGAGACAGGGTCTCCCTATGTTGCCCAGGCTGGGATCGAACTCCTGGGCTCAAGGTATCTTTCCACCCCAGCCTACTAAGTAGTAGGGATTACAGGGGCATCCCACCATACCTAGCTTACTTTGGAAATTTTATCTATCTCCAGTTCTAATATAAAAGTATATATTTCATCTGATATTTTTGGGCTGGTGAATATTTACTCATCAATATGAATCATCAACCTGAATAGTTATTAAAGTTTACTTGAATTGATGTATTCAAATAATGAAATACAGCATTTGTAATGAGATTGCTGTGGGATTTAGTGATTAGTTCCATCGCACTTATTTCTATAAACAAGCAACATATATAAATATTTTGCTTAGCATCACCTAGAAGATGGACAATAGTTCATGTCCTATAAGCTTGAGTATCTTTTTACAACTACATACCCTGTACTCTAAAATATATCTAAATATAGCTAAAACTATCTTTAAGCTTTAGAAAATCATTCTGCAAGTATCTCATCTTCTTAAGTAATCTAAATTCATTTTTAAAATTATACTGAGAATTGAATAGTGTACAACAAAGATAACAGTTCTACGAGTTTATAATCTGGTAGAAAGAGACAAAAATAACTATACTACAAAATAAGAGGAAATAAGCTTTATAATCCACATCATCCAAGAATGTGCACACTATAAAAAATAGAAGCTAATTATCTTTGGTGTGTTTTTTAAGGTGTGTGTGTAGAGTGGTTAGAAGTGTGGGGAGAGATAGAAATGTTTTAGTGAGAAAGATGGTATTGAAATGAGGTGTTGAAGGGTAGTTATGATTTTATGGCTCATGAGGTCTTTGGTAGCTCTAATATTGAAGATTTCAACAGATGGAGATGAGGCAAGAGGTCATTCTAGTCCAAGGGAGTTAGGTATAAGCAATATCGAGGAGGTGGGAAGATTGGAGTTGTTGGGGTTCTGAGGATCCCAGCGTGGCTGGACTGCAATGTGAATGGGAGCTGGGGTAGCAGTGGATGATGGGGATAGAAAGGATGGTTGGGACTTAATTGCAGAGGACCTTGAGTTCCATGCAGAGAGATTAGACCTTATGCTATAACCAATGGGTATGCTAAAATTAAAATGATTATGACTTTCAGAACTAATGTAAAATGAATACAAATATTTCAAGTACAGATAGAAAAGATGTGGCTTAATTTTAGCTCACAATTTAAAAGGCTTAATGGTCTAAACTGACTTTGTCTCAGGTAAACTTGTAATGATAGAGAATGCCAATAAAGCTTTTGTCACCTTTGCTTAAGCTACTAGAATGATATTTAGAACAAGAACTTAGGAAACTCTTTTATTAGAGTCTCAGGGAGGGGACCTCTGGGGTATAATCTCTAGACAGGGAGATTGATAAGCTAGAAATGATCTGAAAGACAATGACCAAGATGGGAAAAAATCAGAACAATGTTTTGAGAGGTATGGTTGTCTGAACCATAATACTTTTTGATCCAAACAAGACTGAAGAGGAAGAAAGAAGTGTCTCAATGTGTCTTAGAGGCTACTAGAGAAGCAGAATTAGACTTGTTCTGCGTAATTGCAGAGCTGAGAACTAAGATCACTGGGTAGAAGTTAGAAGGGAGTTCAATCCAATATTAAGTCATTTCTTGTTTGAGTGATTTCTGAAATGAACTAGCCTGCTTCAGGAAGTAATCAAGTAAGAGATGCAGATGGCAACCTACTTATCCCCAAACACAGTGGCCAAACTTTGACAATGAAACATTTCAGAGATCTCTGCAAGAAAAAGTTTCACGAGAAGGAGGGTTATTGTAGAAATAAAAATCAGATAAAATTCTGTAGCATACGGAAACTCAAACTTCATGAATTGAGCAGAACTGTAGGATCAGAAGCCATATTCATAATGCCTTAAGTGATTATTGAAAATTTGGCATCCAAACAATCAACAAATTTTTATCGAACCCTTAGGATGTGTCAGACACTGTCTTAGGTGCTAAAGATACAGCAGGGAATGAAGCACACAAAAAATGCTTGCGTTTGTGGGGCAAGTTAGAAGGTAGAAATGGAATAATTTTTAAGTGTTGCATACAATAGTAGAAGGTAGTAAATGCTACACCAAAAAAAGAGGGGAGCAAAAAAAGCGGAGGTAGAGATTGAGAGTATACAATATCAGGATAGTTAGGGAAGACCACATTATAAAGATGATACTTGGGAAAAAAAGACTTGGATAAAGCAAGGGAGGGAACTATATGGTTGTTTTGGAAAGGAACACTCCAGCCAGAAGGAATGGTAGGTGTGAGACAAGAATGCATTGGTTATTGAGGGAACAGCAAAGAGACCAGAGAGCCACAGTTGAGTGAGTGGAGAGGGGCGGTGTGGTCAAATTCTTTAGGACTTACAGGGCATGAAAAGGAACTTCAGATTTTACTGCAACGGATCTAGAGAGCAATTGGAAGATTTTGAAGAGAGGAAGATCATGATATGACACCTTTTTGAAAGATCCTTTTTGTTACTGTGTTGCAAACAGACTGTAGGCAGGTAAGGCTACAAGCTGGGAGACCAGCTATTGCAATAGTCCAGGTAAAAGATGATGTAATCATCCAGGTAAAAAACTACATTTGTAGAGGTGGTGAAGAGTGGTCGGGCCATAGGATTTGCTGATGAGTTGACAATTTGGGTTTTGAGAGAGAATGAGATCCTGATATGGGTAACCTAATATTTGCATTTTAGGTTTTGGGGTACATGTGAAGAACCTGCAAAATTGTTGCATAGGTACATACATGGTAATGTGGTTTGCTGCCTTCCTCCCCAGCACCTATATCTGGCATTTCTCCCCATGCTATCTCTCCCCAACTCTCCACCCCGATGTCCCTCCCCTAGTTCCCCCCCACCCACGGACCCTAGTGTGTGATGCTCCCCTCCCTGTGTCCATGTGTTCTCATTGTTCAACAACTGCCCATGAGTGAGAACATGCAGTCTTTGATTTTCTGTTCTTGTGTCAGTTTGCTGAGAATGATGGTTTCCAGGTTCATTCATGTCCCTACAAAGGACACAAACTTATCATTTTTTATGGCTGCGTAATATTCCATGTTGTGTATGTGCCACATTTTCCCTGTCCAGTCTATCATCGATGGGCGTTTGGGTTAGTTCCAAGTCTTTGCTATTGTAAACAGTGCTGCAATTAACATTCGTGTGCATGTGTCCTTATAATAGAACAATTTATAATCCTTTGGATATATACCCTGAGCTGTTGGAAGAATAGAACTGTTGTCTGAGATGAGAAAGTTGGGGCAGTGGCTTTTAGACAGTAGGGTCAAGAGACACATTTTGTTTATTTGATAGAGTAGACTCAACTGTGCTTAGAGACAGAGTAAGAGTCAAGAGTCATAGGAAACACATAGAAATGTGAAGAAAGCTTTCTGAGAACACAACAAATAAAAAAAGTTTGGCATTGAAGAGAAGGAAGAATAATTCCTTTTCTGGGAAAGAAACAAAGAAGGTAATCTATAGAAAAGTTGAGGGAATTTACACTGAATGTCTTAGTTATTACATGAAATTTTAATTGCTTCAAGTTTAGAAGATGATGTAGAGATAAAATAGTTCAGATATTAAATAGTTTACAGAGACTAAAGTAAGGCGTCAAACAGAGATTAATAAGAGTTTCAGTAGCAATACAACCCAATTAGTATTAGCATCTACTTGTACTATATTTCAACAAATCAGGACAAAAACTTTATTGTAAAATACGTCTTCAATAGGAGAAAACAAAATTCCCAAGATACGTTCATTTAAGGCTGAGTCACCGAAGACTATCTTCATTGTAAGGCTAAACAAGGAAGGCTAAACCCACCCACCGAAAAAGTTACATGCCGTAAAGTACTAGATGTAGGGAAAGGTAAAATATTCTTCAGGAATTTGAACCACAAGTTAACTCGAGCAGATCTACCATCTAAATTCATACCTCGAGTGTAGTCCAAATTATGTCAAGTAGAAAAATTCAGTACTATGAAGTTGATAGTGCACAATGTGACTGATGGAAGCGTATACAGATTCTGCCCAGAAGAACTCTTTCAATTCAGGTCTACAGAAATCGTAAGACTCCTTTGCAAGATGAATTCTAATTTTAGAATGTTCAAATGTGAAAAAAAAAATGTGTTTTAGAAATGAGGTATAGGGCCAATTTGCACAGTTAGTGACTTCCTCAGCATGCTAAGTAGCCTTAGATAACGAAAGGGTTTTGTAAATTCCAACTGGAGCTAACTAGGAAATCACAAGGGAAACAGAGATAATATAAAGAAGGAGGAGAGCCCCTCCAAGCCTCTCTGTATTCTGGTAGGTGGTAGCTAGATTCTCAGAGATGACAGATATCACTCGGGTTGCCCTCCTTCCTTTCATACCAATGGGAGACATTGCACTTCTCAGCACCTAGATCAGTGCCTGGCACATAATAAATGCTCCATAGGTTATTTGGATTAGTAAATCAATGATTAGTTTGGAGATCCCTCTCTCACTTAGCTTGACCAGACCTCAAAATCCTTTTAAAACAGCAATTACTAATAATCAAAATTGGCATAGATTTGAAACCTATTTTTTGTCTTTGATCTAGAGATTTTGAGGCCAAAGATAATTTGATGAAACAATTTGAGAAAGTACTGGCCTTTGAAGCCATAAAGCCTAAACTACAGTTCCACTTACATAAGAGATGTGATGAATCTTTTATTATTAATGCCAGTTTTCCCATTTGGAAACAGGAATCATTTCTCTCCTGCCTACCTCAGAAAGACGTAATGAATCTCAAAAAGGATGATAGATGTGGAGTGCTTTTTTCCAATTAAGTGCTTAGCAAGTGAGCTCTATAATATTTTAGACAGCTTATTATTCCATCTATATTCAGGATGATGGACTTGAAT